TCCATTTCTAGGTCCACACCTTTCCAGGTAGCCAGACCTCATTACTTAGGCTGGCCATAGGTTGCTCTATTTTTTTCATTCAACCTGCAGGCTGAACTAAAAAAATAGAGCAGATTCCTCCATCAACACTTAGGAGTGTGCCAATCGAGGAACCCTGTTGTTTGTATTGTATTCTGTCAGCGGCCGCCGGTCAGAACAGAGCAGACAGCTCATTGGTTGCCGGCTATGATCGTACGAAGATATTCCGCCTGACTCCTTCGATCAGCTGATCAAGGGATTCTGGCTAAAAGTGTGCCGACAGCAGCACAGACAGTTCGAATTTCGGCTGGTTCCACAAAAACCGGCCGAAATTTGCACAGTGTGTGGGTACCTTTAGTCTTAGCTGTCCACAGGCTCTGTTATGTGTGAGTTGACCGATATTCAGGGCTCTCTATTTTACTCCCTCTGCTATGACAGCCTGCTGCTGTGTGAAAAGGCTAAGTGCTGACAGAACACTACAAATGTACATGTGCTGCCTGTTTGGTTTGGGGAACCCAGTAAGGAACACCCTGTTAGTCACTTGGATGAGCAAAGGTTTTTTTTTTTCTGGACTTGTAAAAAGCCTACCGGCAGCGAAAGTGTGTATGTCTGATGCCTTGCTGAAAAAAGTGCAGGACAAATTTGTTTGAACTGTTCCTGGGTGTCCCTGTCTCTATATACACAATAAACAATATACAGACAAGCCTTGTTGCAGTGGGATTTTGTATTTCCTAATTAAGCAAAATGTTGGTTCAGCTCAAAAATGGATGCAGCACTATTTGTTTGTGACACATATTGCTAATTTTCCCATTGAAAAATCTTTCTCCTGTGTACAAATTACACTATGCTTTACTTTGTTTTTTTATCTAAATGTGGTTACATGTCTTTCCTTTAAAATTAGTAATTTAGACCTTTACTTAAAGCATTTAAAATGACCTGCTTTTGCAGCGGTCATTTGTTCATTATAAAAATGTATGTATTTCATGTTGAAATCTATATGTAATTAGGTATTTTGCTGTGTTTTAAACAGTGAACGCTAACAATGAACTTCACTTATTTGGTCCCTTTTGGTTTGTTAATTGTACCATTAAAGCTGTTTTGTTATATCCATTCAATATTTCAAAGCAAAATATAACTGTAGAAGTGCTCCTAAGTATACCTCTAGCTACTTACCTTCCCTGTGTGTTACTGTTACTGAGTCCTGTGCTGTGCATTTGCATCTTTACTTGTGTGTGTGAGTCATTCTCTCTCACTCCTTGTGTGCCTCTGTTCCCATCTTCCTCCTCTTTGTTTCAAGTTTCTTCTCTACCTTTTCTGTATCCAGTTCCCCGGTGCTTCCACTAGCCTCTGAGCCTGTGTGGGTGTACTAGAGTGCTGCAACCTGGAAGGTGCCCAGCAGCCAATCATCCTCACCATTAGAGGCTCTGTCGAAGACCTGGCCTTTCTTAGATTCTGCGCC